CGTTGGAGATCATTGTGAAATCAGCGTCTGGTAATTTCCCTCCAAATTGATCATTATATTTTATTCACCGCGGTGACCGCAATTGATTGACAATACTTTGAGTTCAGCACCAATTCCTGCGACAGTGCTTTTCTAAGCGGCTCTTCATTCTTCTTGTATCGAACCGTTATTAAAGTTGAACTATGATATTGGAAATTAATCCAGACATGTGGCGCAGTTCCAAAATGTGATAAATTGACTGTGAAATAATTTAATCAACCAGCGTCGAAACATTATGTCTCTGGGTTCCTCACGCTTCGTGTAGCGCAGCCCCATCGTGTCTCCATGACTACCACTCTAGCAGATGGGAAAACGTCGCATGCACGAAGAGAATACAATGAATATTCCGGTTGTCTGTCATTGGCATAATATTTTATTTTCAGGTCGTTTCTATAGTAATTTCACGCTTGGCGCCAATTGTTTTGAAGTACACGTCTTGTTTCTGTAAGCCATCGCTTCGTTCCCTTTGGCTCTGTTCATTATTTACGTTGGCGCGTGGTTTCTTATGCAAATTTGAAACAAGAGAGTAACTGTTCCGAGTCTAGTCACCACGAATTGAAAAAAAAAGACGAGCATCTTGTTTTGATATATGTATATAACGTCATGGTACGAATAAACTGTTTTTTTTTTTTTGTTTGTTTGTTTTGAAAAACCAGTCAATGCTAGTACGGCACATGGGTATGTTGGATGGGGATGTGAATTTTAAGTGAATAGAAGTTGAATCGAACCAACCAATAATCGAGCGTAATGCACAATGACGTCATTTGAAAATTGTTCAACCGAATTAGTCCATTGGTCAATAAAAACATTATGTTTCAATTTAAATTAGCATAAAGTAAGTAAATATTTATATAAATCATAAGATTGGATTTGTGGTGTCGAAAATATATATATTTATAAATGCACGAGAAAACCATGTCATTTATGAACGGGAGCACGTGACAAATGCCGACATGGGTCCCATGCGACGCATGCAACGCGATGACGTACATTGTTTACACACATTTCATCACGTCATGGATCAGTGATTCAAACTCGACCGAAGGCGTATGAGTGAACAAGACTACGAACAGTATTCAAAACAACATCGTGTAATGACTTGCATATATTTATGAAAGATAGGTATTCAATTCCCCGTCTTACGTGATCAGTAAACACTGGCTTAATTATTCACACATAAAGAAGAATCCTGAATCGTGCATTCGTTTGAATAAAAAACGACTATCAAAATGCAATTCGTGTAAATGGGACACGGTTACCTCACGTGTACGACGTTCTATTTAAACATAACAACCTACTATGATTTTATTCCATGATGTTATTCACAGAAAAAAATATTCGGTTGCATGTGCTGAAGCCATCTTATGAAGTTATACGCCACGGTCGTTCTGATTAATGCATTTTATAAAAATGAAACAATGCTTTAATATGAATTCCTATGCAATTATTTCAACAGATTTTTCGAACTTGGTGAAAGAATTGAAAGGCTGATAACATATGCTTAAATCAATAATTATATGCGCAACGTTCGAAACATTAACTTGTGAGATGATTTCTTTTCAGTATAAAAGGTAGTATTAACACCTATAAATCGCGCCCTCTGGCGAATGGCTAGAATGACGTGTTTTGTCGTTCAAAGCGTCGATATCGTTTTATTCCGTCGTCGACTGTCACTGGTAATAATAGTTTTGAGAGATCTTACTTTATTCTAAATGACACCCGCCTGAACAACCAAACACAGTTTACGTTCTTCAGCAGAGGATATAGGGAACACCGGGTCACGTTCCTTTCCTTTTGTTTGTTTTTGTTTTAGTTTTAGGATGTTGTTACGTACATATACATATGTTTGCATTTCATTTTCGTAATATATTTGCAGACCGTGCACCTTAAAAGCTGCATTTTTTTTAGAGATATGACTGATTAACGACATGGTAATGCATTACTGTACTAGTAAAATAACATTCAGTTGCCTCTAATGAAAATAATGGCTGTATAAAAGAATAATTCAATTCTCAGGTTGACATCATATTTAAGGCAGTGACTGTGTGGAATACGCTTAATTAGTCTGGAATTAAGATATATTCGTAATGTTAACAATATGTTAAAACATTTAAATGTGAATAGCTGTGTGCGTAATTTCAAGAATTGAGGTGTGGGACAATACGAATGACTTTATTTACTCGCACAATACATTTATTATGGGACAAACCTAATCTTGTGAAAGACTAACGTTTTGTTCCTACATTCATGATCAGGGTTGATGACCTGCCCGGGTTACTGTGTTTTTCAGTGTTTTCCCATACTTGTAAGATGGTACATTACGACGGATCATGTTTCATAATACTCTAAAGTTCAGCAATAACAAATCCAATACACATTTCGTGTGCATAAATTGTATAAATGTTAGTACTGTGAGCGGAATGAACGCCGGCGAACAGAAACGGCTCACATGTGCATTTTGTTTTCTTTCAGATATTTTCCGTAACTAAATCTCATGTACAAATAATGAATTGAAATTCATAAATCATTGTCTATATGTAACTTTTTCTAAATGAATATCATTACTATAGTGACATGGTTAAGGGTAATGTATTTGACCCTGATTTTGACGTCACGGAGGCGACCTGTCACAAGAGGGCGCGATTTTCCGTAATGGCCGTTTGCAGGCCACTTGTTTTTTTTTGTTTTTTTTTTAAATAATTAATGTGTTCAGACTTATATTAATGGCCCCTAAAGCGAATATTTGTCATTAGAATAAAAAAAACAGCTTTTTTTTATGGAAATTACGATGTATATTATTTATGTTCAGCAGGGCGTAACATCATGATCCTGTCGATCGGGTGGTAAAATCTATATAATTTTTGTTACCCTCAAATCATAAACCATAAACTCATTTGAATTTCAGCTGTGTTGATGAACCGAAACTGATGAATTTAGTCATTTAGCGTGAAAAACGTCCCACACCATTTCGTTTCGTGCCGTATCCAACATCACAGTGCAAATAACATGACTGCGCGCCGCATATTCGCACGTACAAGAAAGATTTTCAGGGGACCCGATCGAGGTCTGATTTCTGGGTGCATGTGGGTGTGTGTGCAGGGTACGGGTAGAGTGGGGTGGTGGGGTGTGTCGGGGTCGGGGGGATCCGAACGTGTAGACCTCATTTGACATTATCCGTGGGTTTTGATTCTCGTCTGTATATGTGAATGGAAAGATTAGATCCAACGAAAAGACTACTAGTATTTTGAGAAAGGTTACAAATTTCGCAGCGGTAACACGGCTTAACGTTACGTTACGACCGACGCACACTGTTTGTCGTTCCATGCGCAAGAGCATTCTCGTTTGTCTGCTACTGGAAAATATATATGTACGTGGTTCTCCGGATGACAGCAATTTCCATGGAAACAGACCCGAACATCCATGGACATGCAGGGTAACCACTTGAGATTACCTAAAAACCATTTGGGGGTCATTAGTATAAATACCAGACGCGTATGCCCGGCGCGCGCCTTAAGGGGTCTAGATCTGTTGGATCATTATGAAATTGTCAACTAGGTCACTCAGTCAGTTTGTAGGTTTCTAGGTCTGTTTCAACTGTTTGACCTTTCACCCAGTTTCAGCAAAATTTCAAATTCTATTTTTTTTTTTATTTTATGGCGACGAAAGCCCAAAAAACTGAACAGTCTCCATGGAAGATATCGATCTCGTTCATGAGATCTCAAATGACTACGGATTAGTCAACCAATCAGAAGACATTGTATACAGTGATACAAGTCAACAAAGACCTTCTCTGATTGGTTATCACATTTTGCGAGAGTTGAAAGATTTATCCTATATCAAGTTGTTGTTGATCAGATAATTACAAATTAAAATAAAAAAAAATATGGAAAAACGAACAATAAAATCAGCTACAAATTATAGAATAAAATGTGAAATAAACTTGAAGTCCTATAAGATCTGGTCAGATTGTACATTGGACTTATTGTACTGTTTTGCGCAATCCAGCAAAGTGGTCGACTTTGTAACGTCCCTCCGTCCGGACACCATCCCAAACTCGAGGGAATAATCGAGAGCTGTTGGCTGAATTACAATAAGAAACTGGACGTCGCGGCGTCAGTGTGTAGTGCGCCACCAACGTCAAACCCAACCTACGTGGTAAGAGTGTAAGTACTCGTCTCGCAAGCCAACAGCTAATATTTATCTAACTCGCTAATACAGTAGTGAAGCATTCCCAAACAGGTCATTGTCCCCTTCATTCCAGATCTGACGATATCGATCTTCATTCTTTTCAACTCATCATTGAGGGCAGCACAACAGCGTCCTTTTCCCCACTTGTGCACGTACAAATCGCGTCGCTCCAAGTTAGCAATAAATCACAGTCACCCAAGCGCTGTAAACAAGTAGAATCATTATCATGTAATCTGTTTGAGAGTGATTTAACGGTGTTTACACGAGACTTTACACAGCCATTGGGCAAATAGCCGAATGAACTATACGCACAAACACCCACCGACTTCTCAAGTTGCCGGTAGACCATAAACCGCGCTCGATTGAAAACAGCAGAATAAAGCTCTTACATAAATCCAAAGGCCCAAGACAGTCACGATAACCCACTAGGTATCTTGTCAGCCTTATTTTATATAGAAATGGAAGTAACACGTTGATTTGTAAATAAGGCAAACTTGCATCATGTCAACTCTCATCCCTTAAAAACAGTTCTAATCAACGTTTTTCACGATTGTTGTCAAACATTTTGTTTTTTACGCAAGCAATCAAAACCAGTTATTGAATTTTTACAAATATCGATCACTTATTTTTAGCTTGAAATGCCCAGCTTTTTGAATATCGATCACATGACATCATTAAATGTCACCTCTTTGACTTAACATTTTGCAGGGTTTTCGGAATTAAACAATAACATGTTAGTTTATTTCTATTCGTTTCACTTTTTTTCATTTTAGAAAACTCGTCATGGAATCCCGAACCTTACACGAGCAGGTCGACGGAAACAACAACCCTAACAACGACACAGGCAAATGGATCGCCACGGAAACAGCAACTTGAAGGTAATGAATCCGAGTAAACCTTTATACTTAATAAAACATATTTTGTGGACTCGGAAGTATGACGCGTGAAAACATATTAAATGTTGGTCCGTCCCTAATTTACATAATGATCATTACGTAATTACTAGTATGATCTCACGTAACCTTGCGGAAGGTGTCTCAGTCACGGTGTTTCGCCGGGCTTCAGATCGATGGCGTTGCGGCTTGGTGAGTCCACACAATCAAGGTTTTTTTCGATATGGAGTTATTGTTTTTAGAGCAAAATTGGACTGACTGTCTTTAATTGAATGGCACTGTGTTCGTCCAGATTATTTTTCCGATGAGCTTTTCAGGGAAATTCCTCACTGTCAAAACGGTAAATGTAGTCAGATAGATCAACTTGGAACTTTGAAACGAGTTTACGAGATTTACTAGTAAAAACAATGTATAATTATGCATGTAATTACACATTTTCGCGTGTCACTGGTTAGCGGACGCGACTTTATCGAAAAAAAAACTCAGGAATTAAAACGAATCTTAGGGTTTACGGTAATTATTATGAAATTTCAGTATGCAATGAGTGCGCCCTCTTGAAACGAGTAAAGTTAAATCTCAGTGTCTTTAGGTTCAGGAATCGCTTTCGTCGCTCATGTTTATATATTTTCATCGCTATTGCTTGGGACTCGTTCACAAGAGTCATATGAATCCACGTCTCTTTAGTGTGTCCGCTCTTTTCAAAAGCACAGTCCCTCCATCAGACTGTGTCAATAGTTAAATCAAGTGTTTGTGACGTCTTTGTTTGAAACTCGCTTACTATGGAAACATGTTAAGGAGAAAATTGTAAACACTCCCTAATTCAGTCCGAACCACCCTAATATGTCCGCACTTTTCGTTAATGAATCTATCGCCTCTCGATTGAAGGACGGTGATGAAATCAATATATAACGCCTTCGTTCGATTCTAGCTGACGAGAATCCTATGAAAAAATCGGTCACGTGAGTGCCACCTGAGTTAATATTTAAACTAGGAGCATTTTAATTGAAGAACGTGCAATATACAACCATTTCCAATTGTTCAGGTGAATATTATCACTTTATTTAGTGATATTAAAGTGATGGTTATTCTGATTTTAGCTAGTTTCCCATTTTGAAACAAATCAGTTGCCATTTCATGATTTTGCTCACCGCGTCCAAATTTATGCCACCGATTAAGTAACATAAAAATGAATTTTCACAGTGCTTCGACATGGGATGTTTGTGCCCGTTAGTCTCAGCTCTGATACCTAGCACAGAGTTCGCAGATCGCAACGTCGAGTCCGGCTTACGATCCGAGATGAAGTGTTGCCCACTTCATCTCAGATCCCACCCAGATCCGCCGCTGCGATCCACGTACCCCGCGCCGCCATCACGAGCTAGACCATAAACACAAACATGAATCCTGCATCGGAGATCAAACAATTGGTTTTGTGTTTTCCTTCAAGTTAACGAAACCATAATGTGAAAATTTTAGTTTTTTTTTTCACACCACATTCTGGTTAAACAACTTTTCGCACTGAGGGAATGGCGTCCGTGTATTTCAAAAAAGTGTAATATTACCAGATTAATTAGCAGTGTATTAGCAACAGTGACTGAATCGGTTTAATTGTTGTACTTTCAACATATGTGATGATGCCGTTTAATATTTGATTTTAAAAACTATACAAATCATGCTTTTTATTTTTCAAGTGTTTGGCAGTTGACGCAAATAAGTCTGTGTTCTGCTTTTTGAAGTTGTTGTCACACATAATAACAATAAGTTCATTGCTTACCTCGGCCACCGTCCCATATACAAACACTTCGATCAAAACAATATTTAAAATGAAACAGGTACAAGCAGATTATGTCATATACAGGAAGTTTAATTGCAGTATATGGATATTAGAGCTCATACCACTAATTGAATTTCCATAGACGACAATGTTAACATTGCTAAACATGGATCAAAAATGGGAAATCAAAATGTCCGTAAACATTCACATGAAAAAAAAAAAAAACTAATATGTTGGGCATCTCAAACTCTTGCAAATCTCAGGTAAACAAGACACACTTACTGTATTTGGACTCAGACTAGTCTGAGATTTGGATTGCACCTAGAGAAATCACTGAGAAAAACACCAAGATTATAACATCCAAATACACACAGAATAAACCCACAGGTACACAGCTGCTAAGTAGTAAACAAAAGACCACATGTTATTCGCACATTTGACCGACGTGATCACTCCCTCAAACAGGTAGCTCATGAGAATAAAAATATTAAACACATTTCATTGGTTCTTGCACGGCATTAAAATTGGTTGATTAGTGGCATGAGACCTTAATATGTTACACCTTGGGAACAAATTATCCGAAAATACAAGTAATAAAGCAGGGCTTGTGACACACGCATTGAAACCAACGAGAGGTGGGTAGGACGCATTCTCGTGACCGCAATACGAATTAGTTCCCGACAAAAAACACTATTGTTAATTGTCTTTTGAAAGTGAAATAAACTTATCATCACAAACACTCCACCAAGGCGTTTGTTTTGACATAATCTTTCATTTATATTAGCATGGAATTTATCTCAGTCATACCAATGCTTTGGAGGTTTTCATACTAGATTTCTGTACATAAATGCAATATTGGTTTTACTAGCACTTTATTGAATGTCGATATCTGGGACTTAGTAATTACTGTTATATAATCGTTGTAGTTGTTAACATTTAGGTAGCAACCACTAGCGTGCACTTGAACTTCCTCTCCAATCAGTCTATGCATACTATCATGGTAGTACGAGATTCGTCACAAATCTGTGTTTTTGTAAACAATAATGAAAACGTCTGGTATTACAGTAAATTTTATGAAGAATGGTTTCTGGTTAATTCTTTATCCTGTAATTTATCTTTATTTTTGTCTTTGTTTGGGACTCGTTCGCGAAAATCATATGAATGAAATGATATACAGTCTTATCCGAATATCATGACTGTGTATGCTTCGGTCTTTTATTGGTGAAATTAACAAGCCCTCGTTCGTTACTCGCTGACACGGAATCATAACGCTGCCGCGGTCACATTATGATGAGTGGCCACTATCGCGAGTTAATATTTAAATCGAGTTAATATTTAAACCGGGATTACGAATGTAAGCATTGTAATAGAAGAACGTGAAATATACAGCCATCTACAATTGTTTATGGGAATATTATCACCTAATTTAACGTTTTTAATTTTTGAACCATTTCTAGTTAGGTCTGATAATTTGTTTTTAGTTTAAGTTCATATTTTGAAACAAATCAGAAGTCATGTTTTCGCGGCGCTCACCGTGTACAAAGTTTTGTCACCGATTAGTTCATACATAATGCAGTTCATCGCATACTATGTTCGGAATGTTTGTGCCCCTCGGTTCCTGTTCTGATACGCAACACAGAGTTGACATCCGGTGCCTTAGCAGTGTGGGGCTGTGGTAGACCGTCCTGTATGAAACCCCTCCATGTGTACGGAGTTTCATGTACGGACGGCGACTGCTAACCCCCTAGGTTGCGTTTGAAAATTCTGCGTCATTATCACGAGCTGAGCTATAAACACGAACTCGTACCGGAGTTCAAAACCATTGGTTTTGCATGTTATTCTGTAAATTGTAACTGCTTAATCATTATCATATTAAAATTGTAATCATTATTGTGAAATTATAATATACAGTAAGTGCGTCCTCTTGCAACGATAGGGGTTCAAGTTAAATCCGTTAAAAACCCTACAAAATTCTGCCTTCAAGTTCGTGAATCGATTTTCGTCGTTTTTGTTTATTTTTATTTGTGTCTTCATTTGGGACTCATTCACTAGAATCATATGCAGAAAATTAGTTTCACTAATACAATTAAAAAGTGTTATATGTTAAAAGCGTAATATCTTAGTTTGAAGCAACATAGTTTACTCTCCACAGTAGCGAGTTAATTCAACGGAAAATACGAGAACTATACATCCCCCTGCAATTGTTTTGGCGAATAGTATTGCCTAATTTATGGGTTGTTTGTGTCCGCTAGTTTCAGCTGTGATGCACGGACTAAGCCCGTGGTTTGCATCGGCGAGTCACTGTCACCGTCCGGGATGAAAAAACGCGAATTTCATTCACAGACAGCGACTGCGGGCATCGGCGTTCTCTGCGCCGTTACCACGGGCTGGTCTATAAACACAAATGCAGGCCCCGTACTTGGGTTTAAACAATTAGTTTTCCGACTTGCATACAGTCGCTTGTTAGTTTTTAACCAGTTATACACTCACTAAATATTTTATTTTATTTGGAAAATCACCAAAAAATAAACAAGAGACTGTTTGCAAATTTACGTTCTCGCGCTTTTCTCATCTTGTGTTGATGAACTATTCATTTGCTACTCGTTAACAACCACATTGTGCTGAATAATAAAGGGACTTAAAAATAATAACGGTGATTGAGAAGCGCACAACAATAATTTGTGTCCATGTATTCTGTATTCTTTAGAAAACAGCCCTCAGAGTTGTGAGTGGAATCATTTAGGGACGACGTCAAAAGATCGATGTCGGATAAAAAACTTATTTGCTTTAGGTTGGGGTGGGGTGGGGGTTTGACCTCAAAAAGTTCCCAACTTACAAAAACGATTTTATTTTTTAATGAAGTAAAACAAAATCTTGGAGTGTAGTTCGTTTTTTTCTATCTAATCATCGACAACAATAACACAGAAAATGGAAAAAAAAAGAAACATCCAAGACGAGAAAATGGTTTGGTCCGGGTGTAAATATGTGCGTCAAATGAGGCCAATTTCAAGGCATGGACCTAGAACCAACTGCTATGCCATGCCACTGTCCGATTATCAATTTGTATTTAATAGTGAAAGTAGTCTGGCGCCATGATCAATATTTATCAATTAAGTTTCAGTGGGGGTGGGGGTGGGGAAATTAAAGGAATTAAGTTTTTTATCCACCTACATTGAACTTGATGTTGTCCCTTAGCGAACGCAAATGTATCGACCAGACCAGTTTTGAAATGATCGCTAGTCTGGTACATTTAGCGGGAATACTCAGCTGGGTGCGGGATTACCATTTTTCAATATGGCTAATGATACCAGTGCAGTTGAATCGGCTTATTTTTTTATACTTTCAACATATGTCATGAGCAGTGTTGTGATGATGCTGTTGACTATGCAAATCCTTTTAAAAACATGTTCGATATAGTTAACGTACTTGAGTCTATGTTAAATAAAGCACTTTCCTGTCAGTAGTTGGCTGCTTTTGTAGTTTTTTCCCCATTCTATTCTGCGAGGAGTGTAATTATAGTATGAGATCTGTACACCGATGTTGTATATTTAACACCTTGGTAACAATTTATTTGAATATAATAAAGCAGGGCTTGAAACACACATACATTGGACTCGTGGCCGCACTATTAAATTAGTACTCGGCAAAATTCACAATTGTAAATTCCAACCCAGCCTAGAAACGGCTGACGCACACCCAATGCTGCGTTATAATTCCCAATCAGCCCTATCATAGGGTTCAACCACCTTTTTTTCGCTGGGGGGGGGGGGGTCATTAAAAAAATACATAGGAAAAAATTAATATGCGAAGGCATTCGGGATCTGACAGTATTGATTTGATTCTGAGAACTTTAAATGCATTGCTGATCGGTTTTGACGCGAGATCCCGAATAGGCAGCGACCACATCGGGTATAGTGATTCCAACCCCATTGCAAATTGCATGGCACAATATTAAGATAATATATGACGCATAGCGTTATCTGACATATTGAAGATGATTGTGTACTTTTTATGGTCAAACTTGTACAGGTGTATTAAATAGGCCGGGTCACAAGTCAAATGAGACCAGGTCAATGTCCAAAATTGTTTTAATTACGGACAATACATAAGGTCGCATAATAGTATGTTTTCTTTTTCCATGATACAACGCATCTACATATATCATGTAAGTTTTCGGACAATTGCGACAGTTGCCGGGCTCATATTTTCCGTAATTTGAACTGAACAAAGAGTTTGCCTTGATGTGAAATTTTCTTAGTTTCTGAAACTTGTCAACTTTTGGCCGTGACAAAAAAACATCTAATATCAGGTCTTTCCCGCCAAAAAATAAATAAACTCAAAAGTAACAAAACATTTGGAAGCAAAACTATGGCTATGGCTTTTCCCCACAGCACTGAAACCTACTAAATTATGGCATTATTAAAACATGGAAATAACGTATTGGTTTATGAAGCGCGTTTCCACGATTCAAAGTTTGGTGTTGTTTCTGTTCAGTACTAGTGTAAAACCTATGCGGCGTCAGACTTGCTGAATGCAGATACCGTGATGGACACGTATACGAACAGATTCAAAGCCGTGTACATGGGGCATAGCAGCGCAAACGCCGGACGGGTGTTTATACGTTAATCGCATTTACATTCAACCAATCATATCCAGTACGGATAATAATTATAATACTTTTTTTCCATTATCGGATAATTATTGAACTATGCTGCTGTCTAAAATCGACCTAAAATTTCGATAATTATCGGATAATATGATATGATGCATGATACTATGCAAACTAACCGGTAAATTAATTGATGAAACTATTTTATCATCCAGAGTGTTCACTCATTTGGCGCCACAAAGGTCGTTTTGGCTGCGGTTTACATGGATTAAAAACTATGAACAAACGCAGCTGTTGTCATAGATGGTCGCAATATTTTTGAAGTTGAAAACTCCACACCTAGGATTAACGTGTGCATACTGTGAGTCATCGTTGATCTTGTTCAATGACTGCCGCGCCCTACTAGTACGAGTTTTCGCCACGGTCAGTAATTTCTCATAATACATAGCCGAGGATCTAACTACATCAGTTATCGTACAAATGTGTTCATCACTCTGAATTATCGCAAAACCTTGTGCGACTAATGTCAATCGAACAACAACTAATAATTATAAAGTATGTGGGTGCCGGAGTATTACTGAACATACGTGAGAAATAAATTAAACGACTTCGCCCCCCCCTCCCATAAGCGTCTGTATCTCCTAAAATTTGGATATAGCGTCGAAGTTAATAATCCGTTATTGAAACGACTGTACGTAAAATTTATTAATAAAAACATGTTTATGGGTTTGCATTCAGTAAGGGTAAATAAATTTGAGTATACCTCCTCTGTCCGTCTGTCAGTCTCACGGGTGAATCCGAGTCGTTCATCACATTTTTTTTTCATTCATGACTGCGCTTTGACAACCGTCTTTTTTTGTTTTCAATTTGCTTAAATATTGTATCAATACTTTAGTAGCACACGATATTTTTTTAGGAAGCAATATTTTTTTGTGAACAATAATGAAACTGTCTAGTAAATATTATGAAGATTTTTTTTTTGGTGAGCGCACATCGGTTCAAAACGGCCGTTCGTGTATTTTGGCTCTGTTGTATATATGCTTCTATGGCAACAAATCCAATCAACATCTGTTCGACCGGACAACATGTCACGAGTCGATCTGTCCCGATCCCTCATACAACCCGGTTTTGCGCAAATACCTAATACCTAAGTATGGTATCTCGCGCTGTGAACTAACCTGTTTTCGGTGCCGTTCAGAGTGACGCATACGCTCTTACATAAAACGACACGGGCAGTGTTAGACTATTACATACATATTCGTACTACTTCCAGAGCCCAAATCAACAAAAATGGTTAAAGGGCGGTAGTCGCCGCGCCACGCATGCGCGAGATATATGGGTTTCATATAAACAAAGATGGCGACTTCGACTGTTGCGCGGATCAACGAGTACAAACTGAGACGTTACGAAACTTTAATTAGGTATTTTTTAGGTGATTTGAAGGTATCGAAGGAGTCATCGGTGCGGTAATTAATGAAAGTCGCACCCAGGTAAAAATTAGTACTTGTGATTTCCATTAGAATAGCATTTGATTGTGAGAAAATCAATGTTTATCAACACAAGTGTCACACATACGCAGCGCGACGACTGCCGCGCTTTAATATCAATTTGTTACCGTGACATAAGTGAAAAAGGCTACAGTCGCCGCTCCGCTCGTGGCTCGTATCTCATATACAACGCGTGTCAAATTGTTTGTTTACAGGACTTTCGAACACGCGCTGATTGACAACTATGGCGCTTCAATAACGACATTTCTTTATTTTTACAGAAAAATTCACCAAAGATGATATACTCCTAATTTTTCGAACTATGGACAAGGACAAAAATGGCTTCCTGACGTCGGACGAGATAAGGGACGCTCTGGTGAAAACGAGGGCGTACCAAAACGAGGCTCAAGTTCAGCAGATGATCACAGAGGCCGATAAAGATGGCGACGGACGAATAAACTACGTGGAGTTCGCTGGTGTTATGGACTTCGTTAATTCAAAACCGTAATAGGATCCACTAATACCCAAATTCAACAAATACTATGAAACGAAATATTTGTGCGTGAAACAAATTTACAAGCCATGATATGTGGTGGGGAGCGCCTTCGCTGGGTTGGACTGAGCACTAGCAGTCGGCAAGTGACAGGTCACCACAGTTATATTTGAACCGAACTACAGATGACAGCAAAAGAGGAATGCATGTACTTTATTCGTGGTATTATTCAGAGGGCGAACAGAAGCCTTTCGAACATTGTAATTTAAAAACTTGAAGGAATGTGGTGATTTTGAAAAATGTTCAGAAAATTAACAGCGACAACGGCGCGCAATAATTGAAACAAACAAACAAACAAACAAACAAACAAACAAGCGACCGTTTATCGTCATCATAGACGTGTGTGTGTACTTTTGCTCATTTATGTTGGTATTATACTCTTTCAGATATTCTAATTTATTCTAATTTATCGGTTCAGTGTAATAAAGCAGTGTAATAATTTTCTATATCTCCGCATTATGTACTGCATCAAGTTACATCGACCTTTTGACATCAGGGTCATTGCCAAATATCTCAATATAAGCCAATATATCGAGCTATTGGTGGTTTTACAGATCTATAGATCTCATTTTAAATTTTCCCAAACCCTAAACTTCGAGTCCGCGCACATAAATTTGTTTCACCAATATCTAGAGGCAATTCGCCGCAAATTGTGAAACGGACACAGTTGAATTGATTTAAGATATAGTATTAATGCACAATAATGCATCCCCAAATCGTAAATATAGTGACAACTTTAAACATAACTACATTTCTTAGTTGCATGCGGCTAATCGGCGTGCATGCAGATACAATGGGAAGCTACTCACAAGATTGCTCCTGATTGGCTACCCAACCCTAACAGTCAGACCAATCAGAAAGCAGCTGGTTCTTGACAGTTTTGTTTCGTCGTAATAATTCCTGCTTCCACTCAACTGCATTCGAGCAGGGCGAGGAGAGAGACGTTAAAGGCAATGGCAGCTCATCATATAAACGTGCAGTAATTTGCCTTGCCATTAAAATTTATTTGAGTGGTGAGATTCGTGTATGATCGCATACAACAGCGGCTTTTTCAAACTAAACAAGTTGGATCGTTCGATTTGAGTGGAGATTTACCGGTCTTTCATCCGCCTACCCTGCAGTTTGAAGGAAACCGTGTCGATAAAAAGGTGCGGCCGTCGATACTGTATAGCGCAATGGGAGAATGGGTTATTCAAATTATATAAAATACGTTTTTTTTTCTCAATAGCACATACGCAAGTATGAAATGTAATTTTGTATTTACACGATCGTAATTGTAGCCTCGACTCGATGAGTTCTCGCCGTGTTTGAAGCAGCCATGTGTATCACAATAGACTGAGTACAGAATAACACATCGAGATCCCGTGACATATTTTCATTCGATCTCAATTTCAATAGCTTTTGTGGAATTATTACTCATGCCGAATTGGTTATGTAGTTCTGTATTTATATTTGACGACTCGTTACCATGGCGACCGATTTTCGTAGTTCAGTGGCCTCATTGGAATAGCAACCCCCTGCTTATGATAGTAGATATTCAACAAACAACACACGCAGAAAATACAGACGCGCAGTGGAGGTTGAACTTGTGACAGCGGGCCGCTGGAGATCTTTAGTTGATGAAGACTTGTTATGTCGATATTTTAATTGGTTGGGCGTTGATCGAGGTCAACCCAGTTTGAGTCCATTCAATACATATGAGAACGGATTTTAACTCCTACAAAAGTGAAGACTTCTAAGTAATCGATTATCGTTTTCTCCTCACATTGCAGCAATTCGTTCGATTGGCACTTTTTTTTAATGACTATTGATCCATTAAACATTTCTTTTGATACGGACACTCTGTTGTTGTTTCATCTTTTGTAAGAACACTTTATGAATAGTGTATCTATCGCAGGAAAACACTTTATTTATTTATTTATTTATTTATTTATTTATTTATTTATTTATTTATTTATTTATTTATTTATTTATTTATTTATTTATTTATTTATTTATTTATTTATTTATTTATTTATTTATTTATATGTTGAGGCAACATAAATGTCGCGTACGGACAGTTTTGAGCAAAATAATGACAACTATATGGGGGAATTAAGTCGATCTTTCTTGCTATGGTTTTCATGGGAAGTAGTCAGTATTTCTTCATTAAAGTGGTTATACTTTCATCTAACAGATATGGCCAAACGAACTGGCTGACGTACAAGAAACACACTCATTGCAGTAATAGCGATACCGCTGTCCTTGAAGATCGCCTGGCGTGGTTTTACCGCAAATTCATAAAGCAGCGACGTCAAAAACGTACTATGCTGCTCGGAAACAAGCCATTGTCGGAATGAAGATTGCATTTTACTTAAAAGTGCGTTCAGCCATTCGCGAATTTGCAATAATTGTATCATAAATTTCATAATATTCCGCCGGAAATGAACATAATTTGTGACGTCATAATGTCTGAGGTTTACTTATACTTTGATAGAACAGCCCGGTGAACCAACCTGGGTCGGGGAAATCGTGAAATGAACTAAAGTGGTGTCACTATAAATTACGATGATGTTTGCTATATAATAAGCGATACAATTTTCAGTCATGTTCCCGGAGAATTATATATGTATATATGAAATTAATACTGTCAAAACGATAAACTAGAAATGTCGTCACATGTTGGTTGCTAGCAGTAACCAGGCAATGTCGGATTTCCCCCTCAGAGAAGTGAATACTAATTACCCCGTTATAGTTTCGATGGATTTTCAGTCCGCCGTGAAACAAAGACATGTAGTCGGTACTGTGAGTCAGCCATTTTAAAATTGTGAGGGTGTAATTAACCCTATAACCGGTCATTAAAAACGTAATGCAAGGGGGAAACTAAGTAATCACGGTTTTGGTGGCAGGCGTTGAAGCGGTTGTCACTGCAACAACAGTCGCATTACACAATGTTGACAAACGCATGGTTACCAACAAGGGCGGGGTTCGTTGGCTTCTTTTGTATTGCAGTGCTCGAGCTTGGAAGGAAGGATCAACTCTGGTATTTATTTATTTTATTTATTAACACACAACATCCCCCGGAGGGGATGAAAAGGGTTACGATGATGGTAGCAGAGTCGATCGTAAAGTCACCCATCATAGTCCCAAGGCCAGTAACAGTATATGCATATGTTTCGTGTATTGTCGCTTGTTCTCGATTCATGCCGTTACGTTCATGACCTAAGACATATATGTAATTATTTCTGGAAGTTTTTTTTGGCGAATTTTCACAGTTGTTTCAATATGGGAGTGCCCACCGACTCCATCGGGCGACCTTGACGAGCGCAGTGTCCCAGACAAGCCACGAAATCTAGCATTATTAAACTGTCTCTTATTATCATTATCCTCCTTTCGACGACATATATTATTGAACTTATGTGAACAACGCAATCGACACATGGAATGCATCCAATATTAGGGCCAGTTGTCATGGTAACGCATCAACAAAAGCTTGTCCTTTATAGACTGACACAAACAGAGGTCATTTGCTTGTTGCATTGATCGACAGTTGTTGTTTTTTTGTTCACTGTACGGTGCTATTGAAATAAATGCATATGCCAAGGCACATTGCGCTATCCACAGACTTACGTATAAATAAATATAAGGCGCTCGTACAGGTTAATACAGTAAGTGAAGAATTCAATCGTTGTTGTCCCGGTTCAGAAATAAATTAGTCAACGCGAAGAGTGAAAATATGGATTTATTCAAACGTTCCTCTGGTGGATACATTGGGGGGGGGGAATTCCGTATGGTGGGCGTATTGTATCTGATGGTTCATCAACATAAGATTTCTGCGGTCGCACCCGGCCCGATCGCAACTACTTCGCCGGCGTAAACGAGTATTTTAGGTCAATCAATTCGGTTGTTTCATGAGAGTATTTAGTTTTTTTTTTTTTCAGTCTTGAAGGACTACTCGTCCACCCGACAGATGAATGAATAGTCAACACTTTAGTAAACGGAATGCAAATACTTCGTATATTGTTTACATGTTCCGACAAGCGCTTTGCAAACAGCGTGGAGTTGTTTGAACTATTGTTTGGCCAACGGAAAGAAATGTTTTGTTTCGCGTCTGAAATACGTTATTTTGTTTACGATTTTTACGGGACTTCTTTCTAAACTTCTTTTTTGGGGGGTGGGTGGGGGCGTGGGTGGGGGCGTGGGTGGGGTGGCGAACATATATCAATATAATTAAAGCTGATGGGACTAAACCCTAGGCTCATACTTACTTGGCTGGATTAAACTTACAATAAACCTTTGAACAACTTATCAACAGTTTTCCATCAATTGTTTTCCATTCGGGATTCCTTACTGGAGAGCATGATTTTTTAAAATCAATTCTTTGGTATTATATCAAGTATTTGTTTCAGAAGACAACGATTTAAAATAGAAATGACCCCGCCTTCAAGGTCAACATGTTTTTGAAAAATATGTACTCGATATGGCTTAATTATACGCTGTTTTTCCGCTTATTTATTTTTCATCCAGTTAAATACACAAAGTTCCCAAAATGATAAAATATAATGTTTTCCTCACAAAGCAATGAGTACATGGTGAATATCCCTGCAACATCAGAGTAACATTACCACCCCCCTACCCTGTGAATTGTGATGGCGTTGTGACGGCAATGCACAATGTGTATCGGTAATTATTGTTTGTGTATCCAGGTGTATATTTACCCAAGTTGTTATCATCATTATCCACACGAAAACAAATATTAGTAGTTATACACGCTCTGCAGTGGCAAACTTGAATAATATAGGTTAAAGGGCAGTGGTCATCATCAATCGCTAAGTGTGCTTTCGAATTTCATGTAAATAAAACAAAGATTATACAAGTTGTATATATCATGGACCTACTAACACGCGTGTTGGTAGGTCCATATACGTATATATATATGCGTCGCATTGGACGAACGGTCGAACGGACGCTGCGTTTGTAATATATCTAAGTTTTTTTTTTCAATGAATGTACGACCATGGGAGTGGGTGAGCTGGTGGAATATTTTCTTATACAGTCCGGATGAATAGTTTCTCATAGTTTCCGAATTGCAATCACAACTAGCCCGCATAACTAAATATAAATTCCGCACTTTCTTGTTGACAACAGTATGAATCGGAACTCGGTCATACACCGGGGTGTCTTCCGTAGTATTATTCAAGCATTTACGCAAAGTAATCATTAGTACTTTTAAAAGTTAGTTTTAGCACGTGTTCGAATGCTTTCAGATAACTTAGCCCACGCAGCAAAGAATAACGCGTGTACGTCAAATGCACTGTTTAGGGGTGTTGGTGGGCTGTGGGAAAGAAAACAAACAACACAAAATAACAGTCGCGAGGCATTGCGGTAAACAGTGCTTGCTGTTGCCACAGTTACAACCAAACAGATGACAACACATACCGTTCGCGACTGGAAACACACAAAGACACCCAGTCAGTCAGCACACTTCAGTAATATCGGGTAGAAAACCGCCTTTCAAATTATGTCATATGGTTGCGTCAATAGAACAATAGAAAACAATTAAAACTCCGAAACACGCAGTTTTGTAAATTATTTGAAATTAAATAATTGTTAATTGTACAGTATAGCATCACTACACATTTTTCTTTTTATTCCAATAAAAAAGGCAAAATTTCCCCATACCGTAGTGACATCACTGAATAACAACAGACATATTGTGGCTTATTAACCCGACAGTGCCTGGAACGATTAACTCCCACTTCTCCGTAAACAGTAATAAACACTGGTCGCCATGGTTGTAAGATGCAAATACGTTACACGGGTGGAGCGTCGCCACTTTCATCTAGCCTAGCCACACGAAAGCTCCCTGTAAATTCGCTGATCGTGCCCGGGAACCTTAAACCGACACTGATATCGAAATGGGTTGTGGAGGAAGCAAGAAAACATCTGGCTCGGAGCGTGAGTAGCCTACACTGTTTCTGAAATTGTATAAATTGAGAGGCCCAGTCACTGTTAGCAGTGTTTGCCTATATCATATAGCGTCACTTAGCGTATACGAACAAAGTGTGTCTGCGTTGAGCTGCAGTCTAGTTTTTAGCGCTATGAAGTCGCATCTAAATGATATATCATCAATTTACGGAAACCAATTATTCGCGAACTCTCTCGATAATCCGCCTGTGGACAGCGGTGATTCAAACTGTAAATTTATAATTACTACTGCTAAACATCATCACATGACAAGGGCAAAGAACTTTCTCTCTGTTGACCTGTCTGCACATGTGAAATCAATTTGACTAACAACTGCCACGCTGTCAGTGACGGCATAAATGGCACGCATTGCTTACGACGTGTTTTCGGGGCTCTACGGTGGTTTTGAAACGCATATATGGCGAATACATGAGGGCTGTGTTTCCTTTCGGGACCTCGTTACTACCGTGGTTTAATTCATAGTAACAGCCGAGACCCATTCACCCAAAGAAACGCCCTTCGTTCTAGTATGGCCTTTTGTATTTTAAGAGCTATTCAGTGACGCTCATAATGGGGCCATATGATACGCTGAGTTGAAGGACGGTGTGCGCTTGACAACGTGATCCATACTTACTGCGATATCGAAATCTGATTCTAGCCAGAGTTCGTTGGTTGTAAATATGATGAGTGTTGATACTGCGATCGGCAGCGAAGGGGTGACTATTATGGCTGTACCCCGTGACGTTCGCCCTGTTTTGTATACTAGTATACTGTCACTGACGGATTTTAAAACGTTGCTATGCACGGTTTTCAAGCGGGTCATGACAATTGGGTCTACTTAAACCCGATATTCACTTGTGTCAACAGACCAGTGCATCAATGCAAACGCTTTTGGGGAATAAGAAGTCTAATTTAATAGTAAAAAAAAAACTATTTTAAGGAGAATGGGAAAACCGTGTAATTCGATCAGATCGTACTAGGATTATTTGGCGCCGGCTTGTTTAGTTAATATATGGGTCGATGGTGTTACTAGTATTCGGTTCAAATAACGCTGAGAACCGCGACAAACTTTGAATTATGAAACGTGCACGGCATGAACCCGCCTGAGGAGGTCAAGTTCTTGTGGATATCAAAACAACCAAACACAGCGACCCTTACAGCGTACTTATGTTACGTGTTACGTGGCAATGGACGACATCATACTGACAGCCTGTTTGCATAGTAACGACGGCGTATGAAACATGAATGTCTCGACACTCGTGTGGATTTTTCATCGCTAGTAAATATTATAAATTGAATATTATAAAGTGAATTGTCAAAAAACGAGCCGTTAGAATGCCTACATCGTTGTGTTTTATTTTTATTTTACAAACGCGTTATATACATATTTACAAAGTCAATTTGCAGTATCAAGAACGTGCTACAAATGACGCGTTTACTAATCGGACACGAGTTAAACCCAACTCTAATCTTCTCCTTTTACAGTCCGGTCGATATCACTGTTTAATATTGTTTTGAGAAACGCCCGAGATTGTTGCCAACGGTATCCCCGTGACAGAGGTCAGATGTTATCGTGGCACAGTGGGCTATTCATCGGCTTTTTTGAATAAAAGATAGTCGATGTCTTGTTATACTCAATGATGCTGCTAGACATTGTTGTGCATTCTTGCGTGCAAACTCGTAATAGTAGAACACTCCCTGCATATTGTCGTGTGAACGTCTTCATATAGCGCCGCCCTGATGCACAGACAGCGCGAAATATACAATCTGTTACAGGTGTGTTCACGATGCGAATGCCATCCACAATACAAATGGTGAACTGCAAGTCCCAAATCAGCGTTGTACAGTTAGTTTTTTTGAAATTAACTTGTGCTTCAACAGATTCTGGAAGTTCTCAGATTCAAACAGAATTGTTTTATTTGTATTGTTTTAATCAAAGTAACAATACCGACTGCATTTTCATTATTTTCTTACAGCGGCCGCAAATACAACGCAAAAACAGGATGACAAAAGTGCAAAGAAATGCAAGAAGCCAGGTAAGATTTATAGAGCGCCATCTACGGCAACAATACAACTTTCCAGACAGTTGAGGGCGCTTTCCAACCACAAGTTAGCCACAGATAAAATACTGATGTTTTACTCAACTTAATTTATTTCAGTTAACTCAGAGGAGAAAGTTATGGAAGCCTTTAAAGAAATTGACAAAGATGACAGTGGTTACGTCACAGTTGATGAAGTGAAGAAGGTCCTTAAAGACTTAGGAGAGGAAGTATCGGATGAGGATATCGACAAATTCTTTGAGTCAGCTGATAAAAATGACGATGGCAAAATAAGTTATAATGAATTCTATGCAGCCTGGGTAAAAGCCACGGAAGAAGCCAAAAAAGAAGGTATGTGAGCGGCTTTTCAATAAATAGCGCCCTCAAGCGACGAAGCACGTCTTTCACGTTAAATAGGTAGTAGATAAAAGAAGGAAGTTTTATTCAAACAACTGGCTTTGGTTGTGGGGTCGTTCTTTATTTCAAATACTGCAAATCAAAAAAGGAAAAATACTCACACTTTGTCGCCTGAGGGCGTACCTTATAGGTAAGGTGTATTGAAGAATTTGACTCCCAGATTTGGTATGTTTTAAAGGGATATTTTGAAGTGATGCAACAGCCTAACATGTATTTTCTTTTTTATTTTTAGGTGAATTATCGCAAGACGAGATGTTGGAAGCATTCAAGGCGCTTGACGCCGACGGCAACGGGTCACTTACCAAGGACGAGGTGAAGAAAGCCCTTCAAGATGCATCAAGTTACTATTCTGATGAACAAGTTGATTCAATGATAAAAGAGGCGGACGAGGACAAGGACGGAAAAGTGGACTACAAAGAATTTGTCAAAGTCCTCAAAAAGGAAAGCCAAGAATAAACTGTTAATATAATTGATCATGACTACCCGAACGCTTCCATGCCAGCTTTGTGCAATTCAAACAAACACACACAAAAAAACGTGGCTACGATCGCTTCTTCCGGTTGGGGAGATGCACAGTGTGATATGAACTAGCTGCGATGTGAAATAGAGCTCTCGTAGTATCTTAAAACAGACCGCGTGACCAGGAAATGACGTCATGATAACGGCAACACTATTCTCGCGTGTCATTGGATTTTCGATTTAAATGATTGTCGTGGACCAGAATTATCCATTGTAAATCTCCCTGCCTGCATTTTTGAGTGGCACAAAGTTTTATATTTAAAAAAAAAAAAAATCGAAATTTCACAAATGTATCTATCTCCATCTAACAATACTAACACACTCATTTGAACTCAGCCGAGAGTATGTTAATTTATTCAGTCAATCCATAATGTGTTAATAGTTTTTGTGGTGAAATCAGGTTTCCAAAAAGGGGAGGGGCTTTTAAATCTGTAAAATGTTATGATTTAAGACGTTTGAACCCATAATTCAATAATAACGAAATGTGTCCAAGAGCCCGCTCTTGAACTTTCCATATGAGTAAACAGCCAATAGCTGCAATCCGTCCACATTACGTATGTCAAAGTTGTATTATAAACGGCGCCCTCCGTGGCAGTTTCCGGGAAGTCCATGTATGTCCAAGTTATTTATCGATTTGAGAAATCGGTCGTATTTTTACGTAAAATTATTCAAAATAATGACATAACATTAATACTAATCACTGGTTCAATCGTTTTCATTGCAACGAAAACATAATTAAAAGTACAACACAGTTGGCCACGTGGGACACCCTCGGCAACATCCGGGGGCTGACGGGTTCTTCTCATGCTACCCACAAATCGCCGATATAGCTATTTGTATACCTCACTAGAGCTTTGTCAAATCTATATTCGTGTTTTCTATATTTATTTGTAAATATACCAATTTTTGGTAGGATCAAGCGAACCGGAAGTTGGGATGAAGATAAATACACTTGAATTTCGAATTGTTTAATCGCCAACATTCCATTTTGTATACAAATGAGACGCATGTAATTTTAGTAAAAAACAAATATTTGTCTTTAAAAAAAACCCAAATAAACAAAAACATATTTTAGCACCTTTTGTACATAAACCCAAACACTGTGCAGATACATAGCAGTACTATTTATATTATAAGTGGCGTAGTGTTTGCTTATGATGTTAGTATTACGTAATACATGTACATTTTGTAATATATATACATAAACAAATTTGCACTAGATAATAAATTACATATATCGATTTTCTGGACATCTGTCGATTTTCTCTTAAATACTGATGTATGTGAGGAGTGTGTGCACATATTATCTATGCCGACACGGCGATCATAATAGCACGCTGGTTGTCCGCAATGCGTGATATTTTCAATGAGTATAATGATCATATATAAGAATATGACAGGAACCCCTCCCCGACCTCTCGCCCTAACGTTTGTGGGGAATGTAAGTTATTTTTGCGAGTCAATTACTTCTCTACACATAAACGTCAGAGAGAGGCCATGGTGTTCTTTTATGAGGTGTCAGGGGTGGGGGGTCGCTGGTACAGGTTACAGAAAATAAAAAAAAAAGGCATTTCACGTTTTACATTTTGCATTTGCACTTTACACGTTGCAGATAAAGCAAATTCCTAATTCCGTTTTTATAATATATTTGATAATTTGTTATGTGTAATAAGAATCAAAATTGGAAATTGCGTAATAATTAAGACATTTAATGTGGATAATGCTTTATACGCTTACAAAAAATAAGATCTTTGTACAAATTACGGACGAATAAAATAGCAGATTACATTTTACACCTTGTCCATGTCTGAGAATTTACGGTTTTTATTTATTTAAATTACATTATTACGAGAATAAAATCAATTGATTACAGCTTAAGAAAATATCCCTTTCCGACCGTCTGTTATTATTACTTATGTTTCCAGACCATTGATTTATAAAATGCACGATTTATTTTTATTTTGCTGATCAATAGAAAAAACAACAGTTTGATTTGTTTCCCGATTTCTGAAGAGAACAAACACAGATTAGAGCTCATAAGCAGAGGCACACTTTTGTTTTGATATTTAGTTTGATCTGTACTGCACCGGAATATAAAGAACGTTCATTTGCACAATTTACCGTGAAAATATCGATTTTATTATTACATGAATACGTGACAATCAATACCGATATTATTGGGCAAGGTTGTAACTATAAATACCGCATGTGTGATGAAATGGTGAAAATTATTTTGTAAACCCAGGATCACCAAGTGTGAAGCATTCTTGAAGTGCGAGACTTTGGTCAAATTTGTGTGTTAATATTTGCGCTTCTCTACCTTTGATGACTATTTTAGTAATTTGCATAAAAAACTGTTATTTTCGACTTCTTTTTTGAAAATCATTATCCAGAGAAAAACACAGTTTGTTTAGGCTGGTTGCTACGTTACTGAGCGCACATTCCACAGGAAAAAAAGAGCATACTTCTTACTATCAGTCGTTCGTCAAGACCGTGACCGTTTCACGTCC